GCTTTAAATTCTTTGTTTAGCAGAGTTCTCCTGCGACGCTCTTCCTGTTCTGCACCAAGTTCATCCTCGTCACCATAACGAAACTTTCTCTTTCGATTACCAGTTTCATCGAATTGAACATCAGAAGCCTCGCGATAGAATTGTATATCCTATTGCAAATTATTTCATATTAATAAAATTTTATTACATATAAATAATAAATTTTAGATAAAATGTACACCTTTGTTTTTTTCTTTCCATGAATAACTGGGTTCTTAAGATGCATGTGTAACAATACAACCAATTCGTTATCACAAGGTTGAAAGAATAAGTGCCGAATATTACTGAACAAAATGTCTAATATTATAAATTAAATTTATTTTTTAAAAATATTAGTGTTCAGAATAAATTACCCTTTCAAGCGATGGACTTAATAGCAATGAAACACTTACCTAATTTTTGACTTGAACGATGCGAATGATAACGCAATCCATTTTCATGTATTTCCAATTCGCCAGGTATTCGTTTTCCTTCCAGACCAGGCCTCACGAATACATCTGGTAAGCGATGAGTAGGTCTACGCCCTTAAGATAAAGGAAAAAAAATCCTAAGTATCCATTGCAAATTAATTTATCAAATTGTTGGTTTTATGTTACCTTTTAATTCAATTAATTTATCTTGCTCAATCAAGTCAGCCATTTCTTTCCTCTCTGCTTCCCTGAAAAATATTTGAACAAGTAGAACGATATCAATAAAAAGATTTGTAAACGATCGTACACAGAAAACTTATGATATTAACTTTTTGGCAGCACTCTTCTTAAGATCTAAAATCTTTCTATATATCTCAGCTAACAATGGATCAGTGCTGCGGTATGTGAATGCCCTGATGAAATTTGCATTCGGATCGTCAAAAGGCTAAATAAACATGTACGCGATGCAAAAAAATAAGATCAATAATTGTATCCATCAACAGAAAGAAAAACGAGGAAAATAAAAACTACTCACCATATCCTCTTTTTTTCCAGTAGCTTGACCAGGCGTCAAGAAGTTTAGGCGCAAATATATATAATCCCCTTCTTCTGATTTGTTTGCATTCTTTAAAGCTGAAATGTGGAAAGGTACTGCAAAGCCAAACACCGGTAATATAATGGACTCATTCTTTTGATCCACAATAATCTATATTCACAACTTATGTTAGAAATTACAACCTTTAACTTATTATTTCTTATTTGATTTTGTTACCTTCAAATCTTTGACTTCCTTTGGCAGTGCAGTATCTCTTTTGTAACTTTCAAATTTTCGGAATACTTCTTCCCGTTGGTTAGTCTGATGATCTACACCATCACCGAACCTTGCTAGACCTTCGGCTTGTTTCTGAGCGGCCAACTCTTCTTGATGTCTTTTCCGCCGTTGTTCTATTGACTCTTCATCCTAAATTGAATGTAAAGTTACAAGTTAAAAAATATTGAAGATAAAACAATTTACTTGATAAAAAGATGACAGACAATACCTTTTCTTCACTTCTGAATTTCGTTTTCAAAACGGCACTTTTTCGAGGAGCACTTCTTTTAGTTTCAACCGCTTTTGCAGGACGCTTACTTTCATTCGCATCCTTTATGTAGATTTT